TTATTATTATTATTATTTTTATTACTACTACCAACAAAAAAGCTTAGGTACAGGAAAAATATTCTGACAGCTTCACTTAGCTTCTCCCTCAAAAACAAAGATGGGTGTTTAGTCCTGTGTGCTGTTGATGGTGATAACTAAGCAATTAGGCCAAAGTGTTTTGATTCTTATATAGATGACCCTGTGCCTATAGGGAAGACTCCTTTCGAAGCTGGGACTAACATGCATGCAGTGTAAGAAGCACAGCAGAAACTTCAAAAAGCTTACAAGGGTATTCTTGTAATACCAGTCCTTGATCTTGTAGTTTTACATGGTGGTTGTTAACCAAGGTATCCTAAGTTTTTAGGATGAGGAAAGGTTATTTGAATGTGCATGCATTTAATGGAAATTATTTTGAATGGACAGAGTCCTATCTGTCACTTTTCTGATGGGATCTAAAAATGATCCTGTGTAAGTTACTTGCCTTTCTCAATTAGTAGCAATGTATACTTTCTTAATTCAAGTACAGATGTGACTTCATCCGTATTTTAGCAATGTAGCTTCTAGGAGTAAATCATTCTGGGGTCCGAGAGGAACGACACCATTTACAAGTGAAGAATCCACCGTGCGGTGGGAGAGGCACAGTGCCAAGCCTGTGTTTGTTTAGCTGTTAGCGAGAGTGGCACTGGGGAGTAAGGAGCCTTTAACGGAGCAGAAGTGAATTGCGGCAGACCTGGGGTGGGTGGGAAGGTGCTTTTTTGCTGTTAGCTGTCCCATCTGTGGGTGCAACTTCTGCTTCTGTTTGAATTAAAATACGTGTTTCACATTGGTGTTACTGCATTATTCTCCAGGGACATTCCAGCTATATTACACACCTTGACTGGTCCCCAGACAACAAGTATATAATGTCAAACTCAGGAGACTATGAAATACTATACTGTAAGTATGAAATGAAATACACTGGAAACAGATGTATGTATTAGCTGTCTGAATATTTAGAAGAGTGTGTTTGATCAGGACTGTACAAAATGCTTACTGACAAAGGAACCAATTTGAACTTGTGTAACCTGATATCTTGATGTTATTCAGAGCTGCGTATTACCTAATGGCAATGCCAAATATAGCTGACTTCTTTACAAGGTCATAAATCAGTTTAACAGCGTAAAAGTTACAGAACAAGTGGCACTAGGTTTTGATGTTGGCCTAAAGTTCTGTAGATTGAAAATAATATATACAGTTGTCTAATTAGTGTCCACAGTATCAGTTATTTTGGGGGAATAAAATCGGTGGGTCTGTGCCACTATTCTGTTCTGGGGTTTCTTTTTTTAAACTTCATCTTGGCTAGTGGTGTTGAAAACTAAGCAAAGCAATAATACTGCTTTAATGAGTTAGTGGTAATAATGTTCTTGTGTTTGTCTTTTTTTAATATGTGAAAATATGAATTTAATATATAGTGATTATGTCAAAAGTTCAACTTGCATAGTGCATATCAGTCTGGTTTTAAATTGGTTTTTGTATTCTTGTGTTCCTGTGGTTCCAAGAGGATTGTAGCTCTGTTCCTGTACAGACTTGGATTCCAAGATCCAAGAGGATTGTAGCTCTGTTCCTGACAGACAAGAAGAGCCATCAGTTTAAGTATCTGTCACCTTGACATGTTCTTTCTGCCTGTCACAACTTAGGTTTCAAATCTGGATAGTGCAATACTTCAATCTACCAAAAGGACGTGTTGGTGTTTATATTTGCCTGTATAGGGAAGCAAAGAGCTGTGACCCGTTAGTACTGGGCTGGTGTATTGAAAGATGGACATTCTTTTGGGAAACAATCTTTCCTTTCCTAGTTAGAAGTTGAAAAGCTGTCTAAGGCTCCTCTGGCAGTAGTTTCTCACTATTTTAAAAGCAGAGCTTCCTGAATGATTGATTGAATTTTAGCACATCAATGGAACTGGTAGGAAGGAGAAATTATTCTATTACAGACTCTATTAAATCATTTTGTAGAGTAGGTAGCAGGGGACCCAAGCTGCAGGGAAGTGTTTTCGAGGTACACTGATCTGAAGAGGGAAGTGAGAAGTAAATGTGACTCTTAAATACAAAGCGAAGCTTCAAGTGTCTGGAATTTGATAAAGGTACTGGTCTGTCTTTGCCTCTACAATGTGATTCCAGACTGGTTTTAAGATGCATTTGTTTACTGTCTTAGCACCTTCAAAGAGCAGATGTGTAAATATAAAATTATATAGCATAACTCATCATTCACTTTTTTTACAGGGGACATTCCAAGTGGCTGTAAGCTAATCAGGAATCGTTCTGACTGTAAGGATATAGATTGGACGACATACACTTGTGTGCTAGGCTTCCAGGTGTTCGGTAAGCACCATTTAACTTGCTTTTAAGCTATTCATACTGTGCTTTTCTGTTTTCTTTTGCTTTAATTTGTCATTAGAAATATGCTGTTAATAATTATTGAGGATGGTGCTGAGATGACAGACCAAAGAGACTGACCACAATATTTGTTTGTGATACAGAGCACTGGATGCTCTATAGACAATGTATAATTAATTTCTATATAGTCCTGAAGTTTGGGATTTGATTTTTCTGCTGTCATTTTAGGCTACCAATTTTGGAGGCACTGAAGCAAAAAGCTGGTATTTTAAAGTGCTCATATGGCACATGTGCATTCTCCTTTGCTTACCTTGTTTTGGGATAGGAACAAGACTATGTGAGTGTAGGTTATAGTTTATGTCTTAAAATCATGACAGCACTTTGATACCTGTAGTCAATGCTGAGTAATACATACTGCTTCTAAAGAGTAAAAATGCTTTAAAGATTAAACAGATTCTTTACCTAATAGTTTATTTTTTAAATGTACAAAAAAATTTACAAAGCTGACAGATCCGATTTTAATAGTGCAGTTTGAGACTGTGGCCAAACAATCAAACTGCTTTTGCTGAAGGCAGCTCTGTTGGCCATAAATGAGGAGCCCCTTTGTGAGGGGTTGAAAAGTATGGTTCAGCCTGTCAGTGTTGTAAAACCAAGTTGTGTGAGCAGGATGCTGAATGTCTCGCTTCCACCACTGAGATCAGATACCTGCCTGATGTTGGAAACATCAAAAGCAGGTAAATCAGCAAATTCTTTAGAGGTGAGGGTTAGTCTGCAAATCTTTTCTTCACAGCTACTAGGAGTTCAACTTTGAATATCAGTTTAGATGCAGGGTAGAATAAAATCAGTTAAGTCTGAGTGCTTTCTGTAGCTTCTGACACCTATTGGGTATATTTTTAGGACTGTCGTGCTTAGTGAGCAAGTAGTCTTAAAGGATTGCAGTTGATTTGTGGGCTAACGCTGACACTCTTGTGTGGCCTATTGGTTGGGTGGAGGGCATTTGGTGCTTTATAACCAGGCTTGATTTCCTTTCTGGGTACCAAAGATCTGAGGCAGAGCAGGGAGAATAAAGGGGTCAGAGAAGGAAGCTGACTGGTTGATAAACTGCATAAATATTTTGTTTGGAGCTTGAGGTAGGTGGCAGAAATAAACAGGAGCATGCTGTTTCTGAATCTGAATACTGTTGATTATTGCTAGTTTGATGAAAATATTGGCTCCCATTAGCCTGAGAACTGTGAACTGGGTTGTGTACATGTTTTTTTTATTCAGTCTGTCTGGGAGAAGTAGAGAGTGGATGGCTGTTTCCTCCTGATGCTTTGGGCGTGTAAGTCGAGGCTGATAAGAAATTGGTCCACAGCAGTCATTTCCTCACTGTCTTTGCTACTGTAACTGAAATAATATGCAACAAATGCCTTTTTTAAAATGGAGTATCAGAAGATTCAAGAGACAGTAAAGAAAGTGAAAAGCAAAACTCTTTTGACACTAATACGACACCTTTCTCCAGGAGCAATGAAAACACTTTGTAAGGACTTATATATTCCTTCTGGAATAACCTTGGAGCTGAAGCCGTTTTACATTTTATGCAGAGTACTTAAATCTACCAGAAACGTGGAGGTAGCAGACAGAGTAAGGGGAGCAGCTCTCTGAACCCCAGCGCTTTCCCAGAAGTGTCCTTTACTCCTGACCTAAGGAGATGAGGTGTGGGAGTGCAGAAAGAGTTTGGTTTCACATCTAGACCATTGGCTTTGTCTCTTTAACAGCTGTCGGATAGAAGCTACTGGTGACTGGGGCCAGGATGGAGATGAGCAGCTCCCATAACCACTGTTTTGAGAAGCCTTTTTACTTTTTGCCTTTAAAAAGTGGATAAGTCTGCTGATCCTGTCTGCATTCCCTTTTGGATTAATACAAACTTTAACCACTCTGGATTAAGTTTAATTAGTCTCAACTGCTCTCAAAATCTTCAGTGTGCCAGAGGATCTGGGAGTGAAGTAGATAAAGCAGATAATGTGATAATATTCTGGGGCAGAACAGAATATATTTAAACTTCCTAGCCAAGATTCATCATGCTTTAATTTTATATTGTCTGGTATTCTGACACCCTTTGCAGAATCTTAAAATTATGGCTTGGTCTCAGACAAAGGCAAGTATTTTCCCATTAAATCAGACAGTGCAGCTAAGCCAAACTAGCAGATATTTGCTGCCCAAAGGAGAAGTCTGGCTTTGACCCGAGGGTCAGCTGGCTCAGGAATCCAAACAAGCCGGGGACTGCTCACTTCGATATTCAGGAAAGAGGGTTAAGTTTATGGGATTTTGGCTTTTGGGGTATGTGTTTTACTAATTTAGCGCTGTGGATAGTGTGTCCGTAGGTTTAGGCATTGCACTGTTGTCAGCAGAAGAAAGAGGATGGAAATGCATGGTTTGGATGAGAATAGCATCACTCCTTTTTGGCAGTTGATATTACTATCAATGCTCAGCAGTGTCATCAGTCTGCACCCCGAGCACTTGAAGTCACTCTCTCACTTACTGCACATTTCCCACACTTTCATCTAAGCAGATTCTTTTGAGAGGCTTACTGCTGGCTAGCAGACTTTATTAAAATTGAAGTGCTGCTGCCATACCTAATAACCAAGTCCTATTATTTTGTATTTTTTGCTATTTTTACAGTTATTAAGAACTAAGAACTTAGTCATATAAATGTCTTGGTTTTTCCATGTTTGCCTGGTGCATTGAAAGCAAATCCTGCTGTCTTATGACAAAGGGTTGTCTTACCTTTAGAGCTGCTAAAGGAATTTGTGAACACAAAAGATGTTTAATAGGAGATGCAATCTTGAATATTAGTCTTTTTAATCTTAAATTAAAAAGAAGAGGAAATAGCATGGCTGTTTGGCACAGTGTGCCTAAGGTGGTAGCTGAAACTTCAGGAAATTGATTTGAAGTCCATTTATTACTCCCACCTGATGACAGTATTTTATAGATAGAATGCAGGAGAAAGTTAAAATTCATTCATTTTAAGCTACTTGAAAATTCTTAAACAGTATATATTTTTCGGATAGATTTCATTGATGCGAGAGCACTAAAATGTTTCTGAATACTTTCCTTAGCATTTCATGTCTTTATTTAGTAAATTACCTACATTGGCATTGTAACAAGCTTAAGAAGCTGCCTTTGTTATTCTTCTGAGAAAATACTGTTCTTACTCCACACACTGAATAATGTCAAAAAACAACTTTGAAGTTAAATGCTATTTGCCATTTTGCTTAAAAACAAGATGAGATAGTGTGGGAGTTTGAAAAAGATAAGGCAATTCTAAGTCGACGTTTTGTGCTGTATAAAATAGTAAGACAGCACATGTTTTTTATTTTACCGGAGTCCGTGATTGTAATGGAGGAAGAAGATATTTTCATATCTGATAATGGACATCCTTCTCAGTCAATCGGACACACGGTTTTTCGGGGTAGGGGCTGAAATTTGAGGGGGGGGAGATTCCTCCTAACTCCTGAACTAATCAGAAATCCAAGTCTGAGCTGTAAAAATATGGTACCTTCAGCATAAATTAGTATCTTGTAACCCCTTGCTTACCTTTTGTTCAGCTTTTCTTGCAGTTGTGAATCATCAGTTTAGTTATGGGAATCTCTAGGATCTTTATTTTTTGTTAAAACTTAGAGCCTCCCCCCTCCCCAATTTGTTCAGTGCTTTTCATCTAGGCAATGTTGTTATTCTTTTGTCTAGACATATCTGTGTCATTCTTTTCACTTAAAAGCATATTGAATTGTACTTAAGCACTTGACAGCACTTACATCTATGAAACTCATACAGGCTGGGTTTTTGTGCAAAGTATCATCAATCAGTTGTCTCTCTTAAATCACGCAAATAGTAAAAATTGCTCCAGATTTAAAATAAAACCAAAAGAAGTCTCTGCATAATGTACGGTACCTAGGCTTGTTCCATGCTTCAGCATCAGTCTTGCTTTTAAAACGTTTGTGCATGAATGAAAGTGTTAAATTAAGAGTTGCCAGTTTTAGCAGCAAACTTAAAATGAGCTTTAAACGAAACCGAAGTTTTGAACAGGAAACATATCAAGCCCAAGAGGTTATCCTGGCCAAGGCTGAGGGTTTTGGGAGAGCCGGCGGTGGGGAAGCGGCATTAGGCTAGCAAAATATTAATGACATTTAATGCAATGCTTATTCCATTTTCCAGTTGAATGTCTTACTTGCCTTTTGTTAAGATTGCCTTTTCTCACAGCTTTATAGATTTTATTTTTGTTTATGGATTGTCTTTTAATTTGTTTCTAAAACCACCATTGCTGAATATCTGCTCTACTCTCTCCTAGGAGTTTGGCCCGAAGGATCAGATGGGACAGACATAAATGCCCTTGTCAGATCCCATAACCGAAAAGTGATAGCAGTTGCTGATGATTTTTGTAAGGTCCATCTCTTTCAGTATCCCTGTTCCAAGCCAAAGGTAAGTCTAGACCAGTCTAGTCTATGTGCTTGTTTGCATTGCATGAAGCTTTCCTTGCCAGACACCTGCTTCCAGCTCGGTCATTTTGGAACCTGGCAGCCAAATAGCTCATTTATATCTGAGAACAGCGCTAGGGACAAAAGCATGGTTTTCCCCATTAAGTTTATATATAAAATATAAAATAATATAAAAAGTAAAATAATATACCTAAAAGTGAAGTGGCAATAGTTATCCTTAAGTTCTGGAGCAGAGGCTTGATGCTTTCTGTTGGCTGGCCTTGGTGTTAAGTCCATTACTTTTTTGCATAAAGATCTAAATCTGTCCCAAGTTACAAGCCTTAAGAAGAGAGGATGTATTGGGGGGGAAACCTAATGTAGACATAATTCTTTACTCTTATGTGAATAAAGAGCTCTCTTGAAGAGCTAAGCAAAAGTAGTAGTAGTTTTAGATCTCAGTATCGTGTGCTCTTCTAGTTAAGCATGGGATTTATCTTTCTACTTGTTTTCAATAGGCTCCAAGTCACAAGTACAGCGCTCACAGTAGTCATGTGACAAATGTCAGCTTCACCCATAGCGATGGTCACTTGATTTCAACTGGAGGGAAAGACATGAGTATTATTCAATGGAAACTTGTGGAGAAGGTAACTCTACCACAAAATGACATTGTCGTAGACATTGGTGCAACCAAAGTGCCCATCCCTGCCAGTGAAAATGCTGTACAGTCTCCTGCACCTCTCCCACAGCCTTTTAACGAAATGAACCAAAACGAAAGTGTAACTGGCAGCTCTCCGGCTTCTTTGGAGAGCAACTTGGAGCAGTCTGCGGAGGCCAGCGAAGAGCAAAGCGAAGAGCAAAGCGAGGGGAGCAGCCTGGATCCTGCCGAGCCGGGCTACGAGGAGCCCTCCAACGAGACAAGCGAGGAACACAGCGAATCCACAGTCACTGAAGAGCAGCAAGATAACTCACCGGTGTCTTAACGCTCCCAGCTCAGGCGGTTGTTATTTTCCCTTGGTGTGCGTGCTTTCATTACAGGGTGAGGGTTCAAATAGGGAAAAGTAACTGAGATTCATGACCACTCCAGCTTTTGAGTTTCAGTGAGATTTTTAGTCTGAGCTTCAGTTCAATGTGTGGAACCATCCCAAGGGCCTGGCTTTTGACGGTCTGTGTCAAGATCTGGTCACAGTTTGTAGTGGACATTACCATAGATCCATTTCAGTTCTGAAATTGCTGTCAGGAAGTGGCGTGAAATATATACTGGAAAAAAGGTTAGCTCTGAGACTTAGCTGAAGTAGACCACCTTAACTATGTGAAAGTGCTTTCTGAAAGAACTAAGCTGATGGGAAGTGCTGAGCTGTTCCAGCTGGGGAGTACTGTGCTGCTTTTTCCAGGTGCGAAGACAAACAAAACAAAAAAACAACCAAAAAGGTCTTTGTAGGGCTGTTTTCCTTTGTTTTTTCTTAATGAGAAAAATAGAGGAAAAACAATGTAACAATGCCACATGTATGGCGATGCCTTCTTGATCTAACACATATGCAATTTTCTAACACTACTAATTCCTAGTGGAGTCTGGATGTGCTTGCAGTTGGTCTGCCCTGGGTGCTGCTAGTTCTAAGGCAAATCCTGTCGAGGAACGGTGTTGGCTGTTCCATTTTCACAGACTATTTAAAAACAGACTAACCAAATACTGGTGTGTTTCACTTTTCATGACCTGAAAGTTGATTTAAACTGTAGGATGTAATTGTCTCTTCAAAGAATTGCCTGCCTAGAGAGTTTGAAACTTAAGAGAGTCTTTACAGTGACTTTGATGTGAACAGCAAAGGAAGCGTGGCAAGAACACAGAAGTCAGATGGGCTCCAGAGTTAAACTTTAAGCCTTCAAGCAGAACTTGCTCCATCCCTAGTAGGAGAAATATAAATACAGTTAACTTAAATTATTAAATTGGTGCTTAGGATTAGTATATTAAGTTGATAGTTTTTTCTTCTGAATTTTTAGAGGTAACTCTAAGAATCATTGAACTGCAACCTCTATTTTTTTTGTTTCCCTGGCTCCTTTAGCAGTTGTGATATAAGCATACAATAATTTAGACGATTATGTGATTCCCCCCCCTCGAGTTGCTGATCTATTATTTTTGTGATTTTTGTTTCCACCCCACCCCTCCCCGGGTTGCTCTAAGCCATGCAGCTCTCATGTGGCTATACCTGGCCAGTTACGGGATATCTTGGCATTTGTTAAGCATTTGGAAAGTACTTTTTTTACAAAGTTTGTCAGATAGCTACATTTTTTTCTTAAGTGCATACGTTTCCTACTTTAAAAAGATACAGATTTACTGACAGATATCCATTTCCTATGTACTTGTTTATATTTTGATTACATAGAATTTTCTTTTTTAACTTGCTGCATTGTGCTGGTATTTTAGTTCTTAGTTAGAATATCATGTTTAGAAACTTTGGATGAGTTCATAAGTCTTAATTGTGCAAGCGTTTACGTGATTGTGCCATTCCAAAGTGCATCAAAACTGTCATTCCCTTACTAGTATCTTCTCAGGAGAAATGCTACAGATCAGGTATTTAGTCATCATTTGGAAAGATAAAAACAAATGGACTCCCAAAGGACATTTAGAACATTTATATATAAAATACATCTATAAATATATATATATATACACACACACACATATATATATATAAAAAAAAAGTATCCTCTTGTTTACAACAGTTCCAGAAAACCTCAAAGTAGTTCCCTTCAGATGGAGGGAGATACGGATTCCAAGCAACCCATCTGTTTAAACTGTGCTCTGTACATAGAGTTTTACTGGAGAGCTCTAGTATGCCTGACTCGCAAATTTGCCAAATAGCAGCAATGGAAGATAAAGGTCAACTCATCAAAGTACTTGGTTCCAAATGAGGAATATGCTGTAGGTTTAGAAAATAATCTTAGTAAAAGAGAAAGGATTTTAGAGGTAACGAGGCACAGAGCTCTCTGTCATTTTTATGAACTCCACGTAAGCAACACATTTCTTTTTGGAACATCTGCCACCTGGGGTTGCCATGTAAAGTGAGAGTTATAGTTGTGATATTCTTGTGTTTGTAGTTCAGAAGACTCGACTAATATGCAAAAAGCCTTACAGCTTTCAATTGCTGGCAACTACTGTTTAACGAATAATTAAATCTGTGATAATGGATGGAAATGGGTGGGATTATGTACCTGTAGATGTTTTAGAAAAATAATTGTGAATGAATTATGATTAAGAGTGTTTCATGTGAAGATGTTTGAGCCATTTCTATCTATCATGCATTCCTGTCTCAAGGCAGAAAATTTTGAAGATTAAAAAAAAAATAAAATAATCAAAATAATATATTGCAGTGTCTTTCTCCATATCTGTTCTGGTTCCTTCTGTATATAAAGTGGATGCTGTGATTGCAGTTGCAATGTCTGGGTCTATGATTTTGGAAGAACCTTTTTAACTTGTGTTTTTTTGATAACTTCCCAGACTGCCTAAAAATAAGTTAATTCAGCATCATGCATAATGCTGGCACTCCTAAATATTGATCTTCTTTTACTTTTTGAAAGTTCTATGACATTTCCCTTTTCTATTTTTGATTAACAGCCTACTAGCATTATCCTACTGTGGCTAATTGATGGGCAGCAGGGGATTACAAGTAGGTATTTGTCCTGATGCAGAGTGCAGTCTACTTTCCAGGGTTCTGCCAGAGGCTTTCTTCTGGAAGTCATGTGAAAAGTACAAGCTTATTTTGGATATAACGTGTTAAATACCATGATGCTTCCACATTCCTGATAGTCTCTGTCCAATTGCACATGCAGAAGGTCACAATATGCTTAGTATATTCCTTGTGAAAGATCCTCAGTCTTTTAAAAGGCTTTGGATCATCTCCATTTCTTGCAGCTGGTTTCTGTCCTTCACAAAAGGGGAGGATGGGGTGGAGAAGAAAGAAACCTCCGAGACAGACAAATACTTCATGTTTATCCTCACTTAAAGGAAAAACAAACGAAAAAACATCACTGCCACCCCCTGACTTTGACTGGAAACCTCAATGACTCTTCCACCAAATTGTCAGGAGAACGCTGCTGTTCTAACTTGCGCAACAAGCAGGTGTCCTAAGGTCATGCTGTGCTGTTTCCAGCACACCTGCCACATCAGGTACCACTTTGCACTGGGGCAGCTGTGCAGTAGTGTGCTTTTCTAGGCTCTGCTCCCTTTCTCTCCAAATTCAGCACAAGGCTTTTGCTACCTCTTCTCCTGGGATGCTCTGTAAGGCAAGAGTCCTCCTGAAGAGTAGGTAAGCTGGTCCTTCTGAAGAGCAGGTAAGCTGGTCGTCTGTGAGCCTTCCTCATGGTGGAGGCAGGATAAGGGCTCCAAGAGCCCCCTCTTATTTGGGACAGCAACATCTGCTGCCAGCTTAAGTGGCTGCAATGATGGTATTTGTCGTGTGGAGCTGAAGTTCAGGGTGGAAGCTCCACTGAAAGCATAAAACTATAACGACATTCCATTTTACATGATTGAAACTTCAAATTCGTCACTAAAATGTTTGTTTAGGTTGCATAGTAAAATACTTGAATGTTAGGAAATGCCAAGCTTATGGGTTCTTGCACTATGTGTCCATATTGGGTGCATGTCGTGCAAAGTGATATTAATTGGGTTTTACATATAAAGGGCACTTTTCAGGATGTGACCAAAAACTTTGGAGTTTTCTCTCCCCATAGAAGTTCCAGGATAGGTGAGGAAGAGGCTGGAGGTGTGGATGGGTAGCGATGAACATTTCTTAGGTTTGATCTTACTGTAATTCTTACTATAAATAACAGGTACTAGTTTTTGCATATGATGCCTGTCAAATACTAGCCTCTTATTTCTTTTTTAATCATCCCTGGAATGCATAGATTCTGGCTTTGTCTCTGAAAATAAAGCAAAAATTGATTTTTGATTGTTAAATTGATTATAGTCTACACTGAACAGTAAGTTGTATTTTCTACTTTGTGCTTCACCCCATAAGATGTGTTGTACCACCTTATATTTCCTTCAGTTCAGTGCAGGATTTTAGTTGAATCAGGATAAAAATAAGTAGAACGTCCTTGTGAAATTTATGCTTGGCCAGAGCCAGACAAACAAATTCTCATTTCTGCTGCCTCATGCCAATAAAATGCTGAGTCCTGGCAATGAAAGGATTAATATTACATGAGATGGATTTTATTTGTGCGATATTTGTGCTGCTTGTTTGCTTTCCTTCTGAGCAAGTCTGAGCCCATTGCCTAATCTTTATTTCTGACAGATGTTTTATGTACTAATACTTTAATCAACTGAGAATGAAAAACTGCTTACAGTAGGATTATACAATTTAGAAGACTGGGCAGTGTACACATTTTAAAGCATTTAATGTACATACACGTATGTACACGCATCAAACAGATACAGCTGCTCAAGGCCATTTTTTTTTTTGTTTGAAAGAGAAACGTGGATGACTTCACACTGCAGTGAATTAAAAGTTTTAGGAGCGCAGGGGAAAAAAGGCGTTCCCAGCAGGATGGCAAGGCGAGAGGACTGGTTTCAGGCAAAAGGACTTGGAGAGGAGGCACAGTGGTGGGACGGCGATTGTGCCAGAGCTGCGTTTCCTAGGTTGGGTGCCCGGTACCCTCCTCTGCGGGTCTGGCTGTCCCCCTCCATCAGGATGGGCTAAGTGGAAGCTCCTGACACATCCTTTAAAGGTTGACGTTTCCTAAGTGATATTATACAAATGCAAGACATCTTCAGGTAAATGAAAAGCCCCTTCAGAGGTCTGCTAACCTCATTGCCTTAAACTTGCTCAGTTACCTTAAACTGAGCGTAGGCCTCAGATTCCTCTTTATAAAGAGAGAAAAACTTAAAATTGGGAAGCTGGGCTGCCTCCTGGCGTGGCTGAGTCTGTAACAGGAGCGCTGCGGGGGGGAGGAGGGATGAAATGCCCGGGTGAGGAGAGACTCCAGAGGATGGGTTCTTGTTGCCATTGAAAAAGGAGGGAAAAAATTAAACCAAAACAAACCACTCCCGATACTCTGCTTAAGGCACTGTGTCAAAATGACTAAACTGATTTTAAGGGACTAAGAGGACATTATTACTGGATAATCAAAAAGAAAAAGAAATGAACTCCTTTCCCCACCCCCCACCCAAAATTGCCCTCTGGTAGGTTTTGTCTGTATGCTAAAACCTACAAGAGCTTTTACTTCTGCTAGAAGTACTGGGTGGTTACAGGGTGATTTGGAGAAACACCAAGTTCATGCAGATTTTGGCTGGGTTTTATTTTTAATAAGCAATTCTAGAAAACTCGTGTTCTTCCAAAAAGTTCTACTAACAACCCAAAATCTAGAACGAGTCTACATCTTCAAGGGATACGTGTCTCCTTGTGATCTAAGTGGCGAGTTTTACAGCCCAGTATCCCCTTCGGAAGGGGACCTCCGGGCACTCCCAGCTCTCACCAGCCAAGTGACCTCCTCCATAGTCAGCAAGGTCCGTGCCTTGCCAGCAGCCTCTCCTGCGTACCTCTGCGTATGTCACGTTATTTTGCTCTCCGATAACCACCACGCTTTGTTGGTTCTTTGGGACTGCTGTAAAAAACACCTTTATAAATTCTTAGAGACTGTCTGAATTATAGTCAGCTGCGTTGTCCCAGCTTTATTTTTTGATAAAGTTCCTTTAAGTTGCTATTTCTAGAACATGCTTTTGCATAGTGAGCCAAATAAGTGCTCCAGATAGCTCTTGAGATACTGAATTCCCTATTGCGGGATGTTTCGGCAATTCGATGTTTCTGTCATGCATCACTCGTTTCGCAAGTTGACCTTGCTCTGAATCCTCCCTGTCGCGCAGCCCGCTCTTCGTCCTGTGTGCATCACTGCCCTCCCCGGCTAAAAGCAAGAGGTGACATTTGCTTTTAGTGCTGCTTCAGAATTTATTTCAGCTTCCTTTAAATACGCTGTCTTGTCGTTCCAGTTAGTGGCTGTGTGTGTGTCCATCCCCTTTTTTCCCCTCCCACAGCTCTCAAATAAGAGATCAGTCCTTGCATTGGCAATAATTTTTCCTTTTAGTCTCTCCTAAGTCCATTCACACTTCCCTGCGCATCTGTAACTGCATAGAGGAAAACCATAGAGAAGGGAAATCACAAGCTGTCTGCATCAGACAAGCAAAACAGCTTCAAAAGCTATCTAGTACGTAAGTACAAAAATCCCTGGTATTTTGTATTATATAAATTAGTGTCTCTGGTGTTGTGTGAACGCTCACAGTAGAATTAGGAACTTAAAAAACTATTTATGTCCTAGGTAAAAGGAACTTGGAACAAACTTGGTGTTATTGCTACATCAGAGGAGCCTGGAGTCTCGCCTCACAGCTCAGGAAAACAAAAAAAAACCACCTAAAAAACCAAAACAACAAAAAAAAACCCAACAGCTAAAGCCTTTGGCTTTAGCAAGGCAGACAAAAAAAGTTTTCAATTTGACAGCAAAAGAAGAGGGAGCAAGCAGGGCTACGCAGTGTTGTGTGTGCAGAGGAGGTAACTGCCAAACTTGCTCTTACTACATTTCTTCTGGTCCCAAGGTGGGTGTGAGCTGCACCCCTGCTGGGGGTGGGCACCCTCTTTTCTAGTGACGCTGCAGATTCTACCATAGGCAGAATTTCAGTGGAAAACCTTATTTTCAGCATCGCATTGATTAGAATTCTTCCTTGAAGAACTGGACCGCGCAGAATTAAGACCGGAGAGAGCAGTCAACATCTTGTCCATGCACAGGTACCCAACATTGCTAACGCTAAACAGAGATTTGCCATGAATGATGAACGTACACAGGGCGCTTGAAAGGATCCCGTTTGCCCCAAGTTTGGCAAATGGAAAATTAAATGTCAATTGAGCCTGTGAACTGGGTTTCTTATGTCAAAAGTTGCAATGCATTTTTTAGATTGATTCACAAATCAGGAGATATGCAATCCTGTGGATTTTCTGCCAGCTGGGAGGGAAACAGATGTGAAGCATTTTCATTTTTAAAAAAAGCATACCTAGGAGGGATTTTTCAGGACAGATGTCCATTCCACCCTTTGCCAGGACCATACAGATCTGCTTACGTTATATTTTGTGTGTGTACGTACACACTAAGTTCTGCTTATATTGGAATATTTTGGATTAGACTCAATAGTTCTCTAGGAAAAAAAAAACAAAACTCCACGAATAATTATCTTCCAGATTACTCTATCAGAGACCTTCCTAGAGTTGTGCCTCTGAAACATCTTTCCCTGAACAGGCCTCTTGCTCTGATATAATTTTTTTTTTTTTTTTAAATTTCTCTCCAATTATACACAATGTTTCAAAATGTTTTTTCTCCCTT